TGATGGTACTTGGAGGGGATTATAATCATTGTAATGAAACAAGGTATATGATTTGTTGAATGTAAAACTGATGATATGCCCTGTATACTTTCACTCAATCCACAATAAAAACCTTAAAAAAAAAAAAAAGAAAGAAATCTCCCTTAGTATGAGAGAACGTAAAATAACCAAACATTGTCTATCTAGTGTCATGGTATTATTTTTGTTAGATGCTACAAGTCAATTACAATTCATAGTGACTTCATGTGATAGAGTAGAAAGAACTGCCTCCTAGGGTTTTCTAGGCTGCAGTCTTTATGGGAGCAGATCTTTATCCCATGGAGCCACTGGGTAGGTGGTTTAAGCTGCCAGTCTTGAAGTTAGCAGTCCAGTGCTTATCTTACAGAGTAAGAATATGTATTTTATTTTATAGAATTGGATCACACTATATGTACACTTTTGCAACTTGTTATTTTAACATAGGTTTTGAGCATTTTTATGTCATCAAACTTCAAATTATTTTCTTCATATTCGACAGTGTAGAGATTTGTCACCAGTTATTCAGCCACACCCTTGAACCCAGTTGTTATTGTGAAAAAAATGGAAGGATACTCATATATTTCTCCAACTTTTGTACTCAGTTCTTTCTCCAAGAGATGCGATAGTGTTTTTCCTCTTTTAACTCAAGCCACATTCCTCAAAAATCCTGAAATTTATTTTACCATCTTCCAAATATCTAGGTATGGAAACTTCTTCATTTTAGTAGCTAACTTATGTTGACTTTTACTGTGTGTACTGTACTGAGAAATGTGTATACATTTTTTTTTTCTACTTAAATTTGCAGTCAGGATACAATAGAGATTCCACTATTATCCCTCATTTTACAGATTAAAAAGGTGTAACGTCTTTTGAAAAACTTGCCTTATATAACACAGCTGGTAACATGCAAAGCTAGAGCCCTTATTCCACCTTGGCTGTGACAGTTTACCAGACTTTCCCTCAAACCCTACATTTTGTTTCTCTAAAAAAAATTTTTTTTACAGTGCCTCATCACTGATAACATTATGTTTTTGTTGTTGGTAAGGGCCAGCAAGTTGATTCTGACCCACAGCGACCCTGTATTGGGTTTACAAGGAGCAGTTGGTGGATTTGAGCCACTAACCTTGCAGTTCTCAGTCCAATACTTATCTTAAAGTGCCACACCAGGACCCTATGTTGTTATTGTTAAGTGCCGTTGAGTCAGTTCTGACCCATAACGACCCTTCATGGAGTTTCTGAGGAGCACCTGGTAAGCTTGAACCACCGACCTTGAGGTTCAAACTGATTTTGCACTCCAGTGCATTAACCCACAGCAGTACACCAAGACCATATAGCAGCTATAATTTACTACGTGTGGCTCAGATCCTCATAGCAACCCTTCAAACAGATACTAGAATCCTTATTGTATAGATGAGAAAATGAAGACTCAGAGGACAACTGATTAAAGTCACAAAACTAGCAATTAGTAGAGTTAGGATCCTCATCCAGGACTATCTGACCAGGAGTCCCCAATTTTTTTTCATTACTCTGTCTTAACATGGCATATGGTGTGTGTGGAGTCCTAGTGTGGCACTGTCGGATAAGCACTAGACTATTAACTACAAGGTTGGTGGTTCAAACCCACCAACTGCTCCTCAGAAACCCTATACAGGTTGCTATGAGTTGGTACTGATTCCATGGAATTTAACAAAAATAATATGTGAGTGTGTTTTAAGAATACACTTGAATGCTAACATCAAAGTAAAGAATTCCATAAATAGGATTTATATCTGGTTCAACTCTCCTGGCTAATGCCAAAGCTTCTTCCATAGACCCCCCAACAAAAGGTTCTAACCATATAATCAAAAGCCAATAGTGAAATGAATAGAGAGAAATACTGTTAACTGATGGTATAAGGAGGGGATTATAATTATTGTAATGAAACAAAGTACATAATTTGTTGAATGCAAAACTGATGCTCTGCACTGTAAACTTTCACTCAATTCACAATAAAAACTTAAAAAAAAAAAAAGAAAAGCCAATAGTGTCAGCTAATTCACTCTCACAAGGCAAATTTGGAACAGTTCTAAATTCTGTATTTCACCAAATGATGTTTGCCCTATGACAAACCGAATCATCTAAATCTTCTACTCAATAATTTTTAAGATGCCCACTATGTCTCCCCCTGAAGAACCACAATCTGAACTTCTCTCAGCTCCCACTTAATTACCCTACTTAAAACCACAGTTCTTTGCAGCATGTTTATTTGGTTGAAAGTCCTTCTAGTGCAATGTAGTATAATAATGAGTATGTTGTATACAATCAGGGTTCAATAATTGCTGTTGACAGTCTCCGTACTGGATGTAACCTCCTAACACCACCATTAAACTTTGTCTCTCACCCCATCCCCCTCGACAGTGCATTAATAAATCATCAAGTCCAAAGGGCTCTAACACTGACACCTCTTCCAACCCTTAAAAGGACAGCTCTTGCTAGAAAACTCCTTAGAGACACAAGTTTGGAAGGTGAGTCAAACCTAAGAGCAGTGTTTTCTTTGAGTTTGACAAACAAGTTCAAAGGCAGAGGCAGTGAGGCGTGGACGCTAGGAGACAGCTCCTTTCTCTACGAATCCCCCACAGCGCTGAGACAGACAGGAGCTCCCCTGCGTATCTGTGAGGCCTGCGCGCTGGGCGGGGCAGGAGCAGAAACGCCAGGTGTGGGGCGGGCTCCCAGCAACTGGTCTCACTGAGAGCTAGTGGTGGAGGCTGGAGGTCCGCTTCCGGACACTGCGGCACCATCAGCTGCCTCGCCAGTAGTCATCGTTCCCGTTCTACCGGCAGCTCTCCAAAACAAACCAGAGAGTGAAAGACGCAGCGTGGGAGTACGAAAATATTGTAAAGGAATTGTTACTAAAGTTCTCTAGGAGTTCCGCCTCTCCTTGTCGACCGAAACCTGCGCCTAGTGCTCAGCACCATGGACAGAGCCCATACCGCCTGTTCCGGGCGCTTAGACGCGGCATGTTTCTGGCAAATCTGGCAATGTTTTGACAAGAATGGTGAGTTAAAAAAAACCTACATCCACATTAAGGTGTAGATGCGGCTATGCGCCCGCCCTGCTGAAGCACCTAAATTTCTCCTTCCCGCACTTTTTTCTGAAGGGAAAGTTGTTTACCTGCACTATTACTGCAGTATATCTAACGTCTTTGAGCTGGTGTTGCTCATCCAGATAGCAAGTGAGAATTTAGAATGAGTGGAGGGACTTACCTCCCCTTCCCAATCAATGTTTTTGTAAGTATGTATCATATATTTATGAATGTGTATGTATGTTGTTAAGTGCTGTCGAGTCAGTTCTGATTCATAGAGACCCTCTATAGGGTTTGAGAGGAGCAGATGATAGGTTTGAACAGCCACACCAGTACTCCATATGTATATATAGGTGTATATGTACAGGTACATGTATATGTATGAGGCTTTCTGCTCCCATAAAGATGTACAGGCTTGGAAAACCTACATAGGTTTGCTATGAGTAGCAGTTGAGTTAGGGCAATGGGCTTGGTTTGGTAGCATATATAAGGAGCTCTGGTGGTCCTGTAGAATAATTACTGAAGTGCTAACTACAAGGTCAGTAGTTCAAACCCACCTCTGGAGGACATGAGGATTTGTGCTCTCATGAAGATTTATAGCCTTGAAAACCCCATGAGTTGGAATGACTTGATGACAGTGAGTTTGGTTTTTTATTTATATATTTCAAAAAGTTTGTGGAAAAATTCCATTATTTTTTAATTTAAAAATTTCCACAAACTTTTTTGAAGCTTCCTCATATATTCAAGTATATACAGATTACATATATGTGCATATGCATTCATATATGATGGGGCCTCAAAAAGTTAGTGGAAAAATTGAATGAAAGGATAATGGAATTTTTCCATGAACTTTTTGAAGCCCATATATATTTCGTTGTTGTTAAGTGCCATCAAGTCAGTTCCTACTCATAGTGACTCTGTATAGGGTTCACAATCCAGTGAACTGCAAGCCACAAGGTCAGCAGTTCAAACCCACCAGCTGCTCCTTGGAAATTCTATACAGGGTCCCTATGAGTTGGAACCAACTTGATGGCACTTAACAACAACATACACACACACACACACACACACACATATATATATATATACATATCTTACAGACTGACAGCTATCTGAACCTTAAATATGCTCATTTTAAGTCAGTGACTTTGTTATAAACCCCCAGTTCTTTCAAAGAGTGAGTAAATAATTTTATTAACCTTCAAAAAAAATCCTCCCACCCTCCAAGGGAAAAATAAAATACTACTTGAAAAAAAAACAGAACTTCTTAATGCTTGCTTTTTTTTTTTTTTTTTTTTTTTTAAGCAATTAAAGAAGCACGAAGCAAATCTAGAAAGTTTGATTTAGCTCTGCAAATTGTTCATTTGTTTTCAGCACACAAAATCTTTGGGTTGGATTTTATTCAAAAACTCATGTTTATTCATTGATTAAAATTAATGCATATGATAATTGTTTATTTTCTAAATCTAAACCTAGCACAAATTATTTCCTCTGAAACTTGTGTTTACTATTAAGAGCTATGTCTTCTATGGGCAGATATTGGCACTTAGTTATTGGGATAGCAAAGAGCTGTGTTCATGGGGATTTTATAAATTGTGAAATGAAAGACACATTTAGATAAACACGAAAATGCTGTATGTTATTCTAAGTAAGTTCTGTATGTCTTCTTGCATTTAGAAAAAGGTTACATAGAAGACAAGGAGCTTGATGTTTTCTTTCATCACATGTTGACGAAACTGGGTACTGATGTAAGTACTTGCACCACTAGGCATTAGCTTAAGTGCCTCTTAGTGAAATATAACAAGCGCCCAAGTTTTATGTTGATTTGTACCTATTAATCCCATCTGACCGCTTATCTTCCTTTCATGCGTATACTTTTTATCCTTTTCTTAGCAACACAAAGGGATTTAGGCAGGTTTTATAAAAGGTATGGCTGTAACATTAGATATACTGGTCACTGAATTTCCATCTAACATCTGTCATCACAATAGTAAGATTTAAACAAGTTTGTTTTGAATGTCCCTGTGGTTATGTCTCTGCTATAGGTTTTAACCTGGAGATAAGGTTCAGAAGGGTGGAAAAATGCTTAATAGTTTCAAGCTTCTGGGTGTTTAGTGTATCTGATACTTTTTTGGTAGCAAACTGTCAACAAAATCATTTAAATACTTTTTCATTATTCATTTTATTAGAAAAGAGTTACAGATTTATTAGAGAATGGCAAATCAGAGCCCATCTGTCTCAGATCTTTGTTGCTCCATCTCTTTTCTATTTCTCCTTTATTCTAACTCCAATCTGAATCACAATTTTTATGTCTCTGTCTCTTATGTCTTTCTGTATTATTTTTTCCTTATTTTCATTTCTCTCATCTCTCTCCCTTTCATCCTCTTACTCTATCTTGTATTTTTCTCTGTCTGCCTGTTTCTCTCCACTGTCCCCTCCCCATGCAGCTTACAAAGTGATGGGGTAGCAGGCATGAAGGATGAAGAAGTATACCACTTCTTTCTTCTGGTTCAGGCCATTCAGATGAACTTCTATTTATCCTTCATTTCTGTGCTTAGATCAGTTATGAGCACAGCCAAGGAAGCCTCCTCCAGATGATGTTTGTCTTCAATCGGCTGCCCAATATCACACACTGTCAGCCCATAGATAACACTCCCAGCCTTGACCTCAGAGCTCCCACTGGTTGTTACAAATGCCAAGAAGGCCCAGAGGATTCCAGGACCCCATAACTCTTGACATGTTTGGTCAAGCATGGATAGGTATATTAAAAAAAAACCTAAAAACTGAAGGTAATATTATTTGAAGTCTGGGAATATACTGAATGGTCAGCTTCTGAAAATCTAAATTCCCCAGAGGCTTAGAACTTGGAATCTCTTTTAGCAGTAAATCCTTGCTTTAGTGATTGGAAACAAGGAGAATGGTTACTGCCGGTGTTAAAATCGAAAGTGTCTTATTTTCAGTTTTAGGGGGTGGTTACACAAACACAGAGGTCTGCTCTAAGCTGATGACAGTGTGAAATGGCTTCTAAGGCTTTGGCCAAATTTAAAGGAATTGTTGGCATTGTTGACAGCTGAGGGATATCATCTCTTACATCTTGGATGCTCTTCTTACTGCCCCTCCCAAGATCCCACACATGGACTAACCCACTCACACAGCAGAGACAAACATGATCCTTGGAGGAAGGGAGCTAGCACATGACACACCAATGTCCTGCACCATTGTGTTCAGTGAAGAGTTCTTGTGGCCAAGGCAATGAGCTTGGAAGGTGCAAAGTGGAAATCAAAATTTGCTATATTTGCTAAAATGCAGATTCCTGGGTCTAATCCCCTAGGTATTTTGGTTCAAAACATTTGAGGCCTGCTTAGGATATTGCATTTTGAAATAACTCTAAGTCAGTTTGCTCTCTTTTCACCCTCTGTCCTGGGAATGGTAACTATCCATCAGGAAGAAGATTCTAATCAAGCTAGATTTAGAGAGCTGCGGCAGCTGCCCCAGGTATTTGTTTTAGCACAGGGTTAAGGAAAGAGCTTTTGGAGCTAGGGTAACATTTAGGTTGTTTAAACTGTTAACTGTAAATAGCATTATCTACCACTGGTTCCCTTTTAAGATACTGAAGCATTACCCTGGGTGATGGTAGTGGTGGTGTCTAGTTACAGAGACATTAATTTGGATAACCAGGATTGAGGAAATGTTTCCTAATTCTGAGTATATTTCCTACTCAGTATTGAGCCCTGGTGTGGCGCTGTGGGCTAATACATCAGACTACAAAGTCGTTTGAATGGCAAGGTCGGTGGTTCAAGCTTATCAGCTACTCTTTGGAAACCCTATACAGGGTCGCTATGGGTTGGAATCGACTCATGGCACTTAACATCAAAAACAACAATGAGCCATACCTGTTGCCATTGAACTGATTCTGACTCATAGTGCCCAATGGCCATTTGTTTTTGGCAGTAGATTGCCAAGGCTTTCTTCTGAGGTGTCCCTGGGTGCACTCCAGCTGTCAACCTTTCAGTTAGCAGCTGAGCATACGAACTGTTTGCAGCACCTTGGGACTCGGTGTAATGAGTAGACCCTAAGAAAAATCCTTAGTAATAGGGCAGAACTTCAGAAATAAAAGCCCTTATAGCTGAAGGGCTGTCACCATTTGTTTGGGACACCTACTTTTTCTTTCTTTCTTTTTTTAAAGTATTACAGTGTTTATTGATAGATGGGACACCTGTGTTTGATGAGTGGTGCCCAAGCAAGTAGAGAAGTGAGCAGCCAGGGAGGCCTCAAGGGTGAGGCAGCCCCACACTTAGAGTAGCAGGCAATTTCTCATAGGCCTTAATAGCTGTCTGTTCCTTTACTGATTAGCAGGTCACAGAGACCCCAGAAACAGGGAATGTGAGGTTTCTAACAGCAGGCTGCCTGCTAGTCAATCTCAGAAGGCAACGAGCCTGCTTGTCACCTGCTCTTCACAACCTCCAAGTGGATGGGTGGAGTCATTGCTATCGCTGGTGTTCTTTTGTTGTTGTTTTGCTTTGTTTTGGTTTTTTCTTTTCAAATGCTTGAACTTGGCCTCTGAACTGTGTCTAAATCTAGCCAGCTCATTGAGAGCACTTGTTTCCCTGGTTGTACATACACACATATACAGATTGTTCCATATCCTGGTCTCATCTTATGTGAGACCACAGAGGGTCTCACATAAGATGAGTTGCCTTGGGGTGATGGGGGATTACATAAAAGGAACCCCCTAGCTCTTTCCTCATGGTTAGAGATCTGAGAGGACCAAAATCAAGACTCTGTATCCTCAAACTAGAGGTAGCTTATAGAATCTTGCCACAGCATCTTCACCTTCATACTTCTTTAGTTTGGTATCTAATTTTCCCACAATTTAGACTATGGTAGTTATCTTCCTTTTAGAATACCCTACCCACAATAAACAATCATTTGTTTGTTCCACAGATACTATGCTACAGAGATACAAAAATGATTGTCATCCTGTCAGAACTCTTAATCTAGAAGGATAAACTGAAATGAAAAGTGAAGCATTAAATGATTTCCATTGTACGTTTTCTGTATGTTACAGGTTTACACACATACACCCAAACACAAAAACATACAGTTTATGGTGCTTAGACCAGAGAGACTCATCTTTCTATTTAGTGGAGTGTCACATGATGAAACTTGATTGGCTGGAGATTCTGGAGTCTCAAAGTAGTTGCTGACCTTCAGCCTATTGTCTCTGACTTTCCATTTCAGAGATGCTGTGACATACGCAGGAAGGACCACTGGATGTGGAGGCAGAAATCTAGTGTTCATATTCTACTACTGCACTTACAACTGTGTGACATCAACAAGTCAATTAAACTGCCGGGTCTCAATTTTTTTTGTCCATAAAATAAGGACAATAATATTTTAGCTTACCTATCTTACAGGGACAAGATGAAGACCCATAAGACAATACAAGTGAAACATTCTTTTTAGTTGCAAAAGTGTCCATTGTATACATGCTTCTATAGTAATATGGTGGACCCCTTAGGCTATTCCTTAAACCAAAACCCACTGCTGTGAGTCTATTCTGACCCATAATGACTCTGTATGGGGTTTCTAAGGCAGTACATTTCTAATGGAGGAGAAAGTCTCATCCGTCTTCTGAGTGACTGGTAGGTTTGAAATCTACTTACAATCAGCAGTTCCGTGCTTATCCTACAGTGCTACCAGGGTTAACTGAAGCTTAGTCTCTAAATTGTTGAAAAAATGTTTACTGTCTAAATCAATATAACTATCAATGTGATTTCAACTCTGCAAAAGAAATTTTCAGGCCAGAGCAGCCTTTGGAGGACTCACTAATTCACATGTACCACCTTCTCATGAATAAGGAGGTGCTCATCCAGGGGTGACTGTCCATGGACAATCAGCTCAGGGACCTCCTGACACTCACTCAGCCTTATACAATTAATCCAAACATTATTTCTCATTTCATCACTTGAGATTTTATTTGTAAATCATGAATGTCTTTTGATGTATATTAATTTAGGAAGGTATTAGTTTTTTTTAACTAGGTCCTTGGCTATTCTCCATTTATAAATATCAAGTAAACACATTTAACATATTTACAGAATCAATCTACCCAGAATCCTTTTAGTTTCTAAATATAGAACCAGAACCATCAATAGAGTAGATGGTTAAATACCCAAATCCATTTAATTAATACACTGTCTTGGTCATGAGTGCTAGTGATCAAAGTTTGGGTTTGCTTTTTTGTTTTATTGTACATATTAAATGCTATCTTTAGTTATTAGTCATATAACTCTTAGTTGTTTGCAAAAAGACTCACCTTCACTGCAATTTATTCCAAATTAAGTGTATTCTTCATTATCTGGCACCTGTGGGGGCTATGTTGTTGTTGCTAAGTACCATTGAGTAAGTTCTGACCTACATAGGATTTCTGAGGAGCAGCTGGTGAGTTTGAACCACTGATCTTATGGTTGTTGTTGTTAAGTTGTTAAGTGCCGTCAAGTCGGTTCCGACCCATAGCGACCCTGAATAGGGTTTCCGAGGCTGTAAATCTTTACGGGAGCAGATCGCCTCATCTTTCTCCCGCGGAGCAGCTGGTAGTTTCGAACTGCTGACCTTCCGGATCGCAGCCCGATTCGTAACCACTACGCTACAGTATTTATCCTACAGTGCCACACCAGGATTTCAGTGGGGGCTATATAAGCTACTAATCCCTTCACCTCTCTGGTGAAGGGATTAGTAACTTATA